CTGCTGCTGGGCAGATGTGGGGGATCTGACGTTCAGAGGCTGCTGGCTGACAACTGGGGAGTCAGCCCTCCCTTGAAGGCTCTCTTCAGGTGGCCTCCGGGACCCCAGGGCTGTGGTGAGAYCCTCCTGTTGGATAACCGGGAGGGAGAGTTTCACCAGATCCTGGAGCGGCTGTGCAGCAGGACTCACAGGCTTGTAATCCTSTCCCRTCTTTCATTTGRAGATGKGTRGTAAAGCTGTTCACYTGARGACTTTGGAAGCAGATAGCTTAGGGTTCAGACCTTGACTTTGGATCYTGCCGTGACCTGAGCCTCCCTGTTTTGGGGAGTCTTGGGTGAGTGCGTGGTATAGACTGCTGTGTGCGGCGATGACTGTCWCGAGGGTGCAGGTGCTAGGTAGAGTCGTGGGTGTGAGTGGGATCTCCAGGGGAGCTGTGGCGTGCGGGTGGATGGACCCAGGACCATCGTGGGCAGCCCCGTGTGTGGGGGAAGGGTGACACAGGAAGGGCGCCATCAGGGCTTGAGTGGTCCAGGAGGACAGGGAAGAAGAGAGATCTGCAGAGTTGTGCTGTGGAGGGGCCAAACGGGAACATGCCGTGGTTCCTAGCCGTGCAGAGGGAGTGTGTGGGAGTGGAACCCCCCATGGGGCCTGGCCRAGGGGGCTGAGGAGCCACGTTAAAGGTTCTGTCTTCCCACGTCTCTCGGGTCCCTCCCAAGCACTGGCTTGTTTGAACTGCTGAGGCCCAAGTGCCCTGGCACCCGCAGCCACCAACTCCATAGTATTTAGCATCCAGCAGAGCAGTCACCTGCAGGGCTTTTATGGAGAGGACGTGGGCTTCGCACTCCCTTTGAAACCCAAACGTTTTTCGAGGGAACATTTTAAATGTTTTAAAAACACTGGTGGTTTCTCCCCACGTGCCTTAAGGATTTCCGAGTACGGCTGCATGCTGGAGATCAAGGAGGTCAGAACCTTTCCTGATGGAAGCTCCRTTGTGGATGCCATCGGAGTCAGCCGGTTCCGAGTATTAAGCCACCGTCACAGAGATGGCTACAACACGGCGGACATCGAATACCTGGAAGATGAAAAGGTGAGGCTCGTTTTCCTAGTGTATTTCCTAGAGGTCAGTTACCTTTTTTCACTCTGTGTCCCGGAAAGGCCTGGCCGGGTTGTTATTCACAGCCTTGCTTATTTCCTTCTTCATCCAGCCCTGAAGTGGTTCATTCTCGGGGTGCAGTATCACCTGGGTTGGGGCTGGTAGAGAAATCTCTTCCTGAGATTCCTGCGTGGAGAGACTTGTACGCCACCTGCACATCGCAAACTGGGTTTGTGATTCCTCRTCTTCTCGCCCAGGGGCTGGCAGACTTTTCCTAGAAAGGCCAGGTTTTCAGCTAACCCTCTGATTCTGAGTTCTGCTCCCCGGATTCAGTTGACCATGTGTCAGAAACATTGTAAAAGCAAAATTGAGTCTGTACTGAGCACGTGTAAACATGTTTCCTTGGAATCAGTCCCCMRACRGCACARTATAGCTGGACATGGTGGTGCACAGCTCTAGTCCAGCTTCTTAAGGTGCTGAGGCTGGAGGGAGGATCTCTYGAGCCTWCAAGTTTGAGGTCAGGCTGGGCAACAYGGTGAAACCCTGCCTCCTAAAAACAAAAACGATGCAGTGTAACGACTACATGGTGTTGGCATTGTAGTAGGTGTTCTAAGCCATCTAGAGCTGATTTACAGTGTGTGGGAGGATCTGTGTGATCATATGCAAATTTTGCGTTATTTTATATGGATTTTGATATCCACAGGGGGTCCTGGAACCAGTCCCTATGGGATGACTGTACTTTAGACTTTGCAAGCCATGTGCTCTCTGTTGCAGCTACTCAGCTGCCTGGGAGTGCAAAAGCAGCAATAGGCCATATGTAAATAAGTGGGCCCAACAACCAGCCTCCAGTAAAATGTTATTTATGAAAACATGATGGTGAAAGGYGTTTGATTCACAAGCAGTAGTTTGTCAGTCCSTGTTCCTAGTTACTGGTTTAATCCAGAATGAGCTGTAATGCAAAACAATAGCCTTAATTCACAGCTAAATATAAAAGACTTGAGTCTCTTACCCCTTAGCAATTATTTGTCTAATTTGTCAAAAGAAGTACAAATAGCCAAAAATTATATTTAAAATGCTCAACATTTTTAGCTGTTAGGAAATGCAAATCACAAGTACATTGAGATTCCATGTCACCCCAGTGAGGATGGCTATTGTCRAGAAAAATAARGAAATATTAGAATRCAGGGTAAAGGAACCATTATACACTATTGATGGGAATGCAAATTAGTACAGCTACTATGGAAAACAGTATAGAGGGTCCTCAAATAACTAAAACCAGAACTGCCTTATGATCCAGCTATACCACCTCTGGGTACATACCRGCAGGAATCAAAGTCAGCATACAATATATACCAGCACACCCATGTTTATCATAGCATTATTCACAAGAGCCCAGTTATGGAACCAGTCTGAATGCCCATCAAGGTCCATTTCTACGTGATGGAAATGTTCTCTGTCTTGTTTAGGTTGACGGTTAGACTGGTGTGCACAGTTGACAAAATTGACTGAGGCAAATAATGAATAAAGAAAATACGGTGCAATACACAATGGAGTGTTATTAAGCCATAAAGAAKAGTGAGATCATGTCTATCATCTGTAGGAAAATGGATGGAACTGGAGGTCATCCTGTTAAGTGAAATAAGCCAGACTCAGAAAGACAAGTATGGGGGCTGGGGTTGTGGTAGAGCACTTGCCTGGCATGTGTGAGGCACTGGGTTCAATTCTCAGCACCCAGATAAACTAATAAAATAAAGGTCCATCAACAACTAAAAAAATACTAACAGCAACCACAAAAAAGTATTACTTGTTTTCTCATATGTGCAATCTGGGGCAGGGGTRGAATATGACATGAAATGAGAAGGGATAAGAGAGGGCAAAAGGGAGGGTGGATACAATAAAAACATGTTATATGCAGATGTGAAATTCCACAAAGAAACCTGTTATCTTGTATAATTAGCATGTGCTGATAATTTAATAAAATTGTTAAACCAATGCTTAGGTGAAAAAAAGAATTACTTGTTTCTAATAGAAATATCAGGACACATAATTTGACAAATTAGCAAAATGTTTGGAAGAGATTTTTAAAAAAGACTTATGAGAATATCCGTAAGAGTCTTATTAATAGCTAAAAGCTAGAAGCAGCCCAGATCTCAACGGGTTGATAGATAAACAAGTTTGGTACATTTATACAGTGGAATACTACTCAACAGTAAAAAGGAATAAACAACATGAATGAATCTCACAGACATTATGCCAAGTAAGAGAAGCCGGCCTCAGGAAAAATACCAGTATTTAATCTACATAGGCAGCAGGCACAACCATCACTATGGGCATACTTCCAAGTACAGGCAAAACTAGCATCTGGTAGTAAAACTCAGAAAATGTAGGATGGACTTTGTAATCTTTCTACATGGTGGAAATGTTCTCTGTCTTGTTTAGGTTGATGGTTAGACTGGTGTGCACAGTTGACAAAATTATCGGCAATTAAGAGTTACACATTTATTTTTGGTATATAAATTATACTGTAACAAAAAATGCTTTTAATATTTAGAAGGAGGAAATTGTTGGAATCATTGTATTCTTTTTTAAAATTCTTTGACATTTGGAAATGTGGAAGTAAGAGTCTGTGGTCTTCCGTAGAAGTCATGTTGGGGACCATGATGCATATTCATCTAAGTGGATCCACACACCCRGTGCACCAGGCCCCTCTCCTCCAGCTGGGTCTCTGCTGTCTGGCAAAGGAGCAGAGCACGGAGCCAAACTCCAAGGTCACTGGACCACAGAGCTACATTTTAAGACCATGGCTGAAAGTGATAGTCCTCAGGGTCTCTGTGCTTTATTGACTGTTACGGATGACAGCTTTTATGTATTTGTATTTTTTTAAAAATTTTTTTTTAGTTGTAGATGGACACCATRTTTTTATTGATTTATTTTTATGTGGTGCTGAGGATCGAACCCAGCGCCTCACACGTGTGAGGTGGGTGCTGTACCACTGAGCTATAGCCCCAGCCCTGTATTTATATATTTTTAAATGGCTCAAATAGTAACAACATGAAATAAATTTAGAGKTTTTTTTTTTTTAAAGAAAATCCACCACCACCTAAGAATATTTGGTTTTACAAATCAAGTTTAGGAGGGCCATTTGCATAACAGTGTAATTCCTCAGTCTCATAGATAACTGGAATTCTATAGCCAGAAAGGACCTGAGTGGTTTACTTCCATTTTGCAGATGAGAAAACTCTACCTTAATGAGGCTGTGAGCCTGCTTAGAATTCACCCATGTTTAAGTCAGCGATGAAACCAATCATCTAAACCCAGGCTCCAGCCCACTGTTCTTACTCTACTGGTTCTTCTGACCAAGGGCTGAGATGGAACTGTAAGACACTGGACTTGACAGTGAGAGAGATACCAGAAGCCAAGTGTTCCCGCTGAGCCCTAGCTAATGCATGAATGAGGGGTTGCTCCATTGTGTCTTTTGGAATACAGTTTGCTGATATGGACTACAATTTTTAAAATGTTAAGTTCTTTCACTTGGTAATTCTATTTCCAGGAAATTCTCCTGAGGAAATAACACTTCCCTCACCAAAAAAGAAAAAAAAAATTGTTTTTGAATATTTATATTCAAAATTAAAAAGTTGAAAGTGTCTAAATCTATCTTACGTAAAAAAAAAGTTGAAAGTGTCTCAATCTATCTTATGTAAATGGTTAGATTACAGTATATCTCAAGTGTATAATTATGTGCATCCATTGAAAATCATTCATCATGTGGAATTGTGCTTATGTTAAGAGTCTTAAGAGGAATAATCATGCAATCAGTAGCTCTCAATTAGGCAAAAAGAAATAGTGCAAAATTTCTTTATTGAGAATATACCTTTTTTATGAAACAGTCGTGAATTATTGAAACAATAAACGCCACAAATGCACTTAGCRGATACGGCAGAGGTCGCTAGCTGGAGCAGACGAGTGGAGGGCCACATACCTCCTGAGTTATTAAAATGGCTCTCTCCTTTTCCTTGGCCAGGTGGAAGGTCCGGAGTATGAAGAACTGGCTGCTCTTCATGATTCTGTTTACCAACAGTCCGTGTCCTGGTTCGCATCTCTTCAGGACCACATGAAAGAACAGATCCTAAGTCATTTTGGGTTAATGCCTGACAGGGAACCTGAGCCTCAGGTATGGTCTCCTTTTCCCTTCTTCATGCTCTGCGTCCTGCTCTACTGTGCGGAGACACATCACTCTGATGGAAAAATTTGGCAGCACAATGCCGTATATTCCATTATCACTGCTTATGAGTCAGTTCCTTTATTAACAGCCCAAGAAAGCCCTTAGTATGGGCATCTTGTGCATTGAAGGAAAAAAAAGTGCTTTCTATCAAGATAATTTWTTTTCTAACAAAAACCCTCCTGTTCTGCGTGGCCGCCAGCTCCTGTGCTTTTGCTTTTCTCACGAACACCGTAAGACCTGGATAGCGGTTTCGTCATTTTGGCACGAACACGGTGTTTTCCACATGATGTTTCCTTGTTCCTAGTCCAGCAGGTGTTGAGTCAGCAGGGAGACCCCCGTGGTCCTGGTGAACTTGGAAGCCTTGTTTCCCAGTCCTTGGTGGGGCCCAGGCATCATGAGCTTTCTCTGGTACTTCCTGAAAATGATTTTTGGGTAAAGCTGGTTTTTTAAGCAGTAAATGGGCCTTAGGGTTTTGGAGTATTTCTGCGTGCACATGACCTCCTCATTTGGGTGAGGCTGTTCAGCAGGGATGATGTAGGATTGTGACTGGCACAAGATAGTTCTTCCCATCTGCACGTGGGCATCTGTCTATCTTATCATGTGTTTGGGGTTGGAGGTGGGGGGGGTAGGACCAGCTCTCAACAGGTTTAGTGTAAGGTCAGTTACCTCTTGTCTTTCCCCCATTTATTTATWTCTTTATCTTATCTCTTGATGAGGTTTCTAGATTTTACCCTCTGGTTGAGTTCTGTGTTTTCCAAACTCAGGAGAGAGCTTTAAGAGCCAGAATTGCTTCCAAGTCCTACCCRACCGTCCCTTCTCACGTAAGCCCTCTTGCTCCTCCGTGCTCTGACTCAAGATTCAGAAAGCAGAGTGATGAGATTAACTTGCCAGGAGCTGTGAGTCCTTCTTTTCCCAAAGGCTTTTTCTTATTAACCCAGATTAATCTTTAATTTGGTAGTTGTATTCGCTTTCTTTTACTGCTGTAGCAGAGGATCACAAAGGTGGTGGCTTAAAGCAATGCMAATGGATCGTCTTATATGTTAGTTTTCTATGTCAGAAACCTGATGTGGGTCTCGCTGTCCCTGATCAAATGATGGCCATATGCATCGTTTTCAGGAGACATCGAGGAGAATCTGTTTCACTGCATTTTCCGGCTTCTGGAGTCTGTTGGCACYCTTAGCTCATGGCTGCCTTCCTCCATCGTCAAAGCCAGGGACGTCACATCCTGTCCGCTTCTCCACAGTCGCATTTCCCTGACCCCAGCCTGGAGAGGCCCCTGGTGATGGCACTGGGCCCACGAGGAGACTCTCCCACCTTGAGATCCTACCTGCTCCACATGTGCGGAGTCCCCTCTGCCATGTGAAGTGCCAGGTTCACAGGTGTTAGGACCAGGTGGTGGGCATCTCTGGAGGGTGTTATTCTGCCAATACAGAGGACTTTAGGTAGTATGCAGGAGGCACTTGTTTTTTTTTTAATGTGCTATCCTTCCCATTAGGCATGCCGTTCAGTTTTTTCCCACTCTAAGACGAGGAAGGAAGAGAAAAATGTGGATTCATTTAGGTCATTTTCCTACAGCCCCTGTGTTGGAAGTCACCACAGAAGGGTGCGTCACTGTCCTCCTGACAGTGACTTGGGCTTCCCCTTTGGGCTTTGGCCACAATGTTATTACTAATCCTCTCATGGAATCTGCTCCACCCTGAACTAAAACCACTCCAGAGTCCACCCTCCCTGATTCCCAGTTGGTATTTTGCCTGTCTTTGGAGTAGGAACGGAAGAGAATMGGAGACCTTGGAAGCAGAGAGACAGGGATGTCTTGGGTCCAGTATCAGGAATATTGGAAATGAGTTTATGAGCAGCTTTTGCCTAGAGCTCAATCCAGAAGTACCTGTTTGATTTTGTTAAAGAAAGGCAATCATATGCATATAYGCAGGTATAGGTGTATGTATTTTTTTTGTATATATATGTGTATATGTATATATATATACACACATATATTTATTTCTATAAATTTATATAAATTTGCAACATGTGTATGTGTATAAATTCACGATAGTTCCCATATGTAACATGTCTATATATAAATGTTTTATACATATTACACATTGGCCACATTGACTTTATTATAAGATTTATTTCCTTGGGCACTCAGTCTTATACACATGCTTTTGTAGCCTTTATAATATCATGCTTTATGGAGCCTGCTTAAAACTTACAAAACAGTAGCACTGGACACTGGACCGTGGAGGTCACTCTCGTGGCCTTCTCCTCTGGCTGGTGTGTACTCAGGAGTACAACTCATCCATGGCATTCCCCTGTGGCAGGGCCATCTCTTAGCAGGMTCTTTGCTTCGTGAGTCTCCCCACCTATGAGCAGGTGACATTGGACTGTGCAGTTTGAGGATGGATAAATTGTGAGGTGGTCCTACAATAATAGAAGGTGGCATCTAATTTTTGCTCACATTTGTTGGTTAAACCAAAACTATATCAGGGAACAGGTGTCGGTATATTTTAGACCTCAATCTTGTGTTTCTTCTCCTTCCTTTGGCAGAGCAATCCTAGTGGTCCTGCCTGGTCCTGGTGGATCCTGGCAGTGCTGCCGCTGGAGCGCAAGGCTCAGCTGGCCATCCTCGGCATGACCTCCCTGAAGGAGCGCCTGCTTGCCATTCGGCGAATATTAGTCATCATCACACGTAAGATGAATAGTCGCCAAGAGGTGGTTAATAACAGGGAAAGAAATAATTGATTTTCTCTCTGCTGTTGAGGTTTCTGGAATTCCCTGTACTGCCGTGAGTGCTGGGAATGGACGAGCACCCATCCCCGCCACTGCGCTTTGTAAAATGCTTGTCGATAAGGTTGCCAAATGGAACTCTTGCCAAACGCTGACTCCTGCTCACTAGTTGCAAGTCTGTGCCTGGTGGAATCTGACCCAGTACACAGTGAGCCTGAAATTCACATGGCGCCCGTGGTTGGAAAACCACCTCAAAAAGTCTCCTTGAAGCCAATGTTTCAGGAATGCAGTTCACTGATAATACAGGGCACCGCGTACGACTCACAGGAAGCAGAGGTTTCACGAGGATGGAGGACTCCATTCCTGAGGAGGATCTGGCTCTGCCAGATGGAATCGAAACACGTCAGTGACCACAGACAGCCATGGGGTGGGTGGTGGGGGATCGTGTTTTAATCTGGAAACAGATACTAGAGCACAGGCTAACCAAAAAAATGYGCTTAGGCTTTGTGTGTCCCTGTGAAGTTATCTGTGAAATTAAGGAATCAAACCATTGTCCAGTGCAGTAGCCAAAATTAGTCCTTCCCCAAGAAGTAGCAGTTTTGGGTAGAACTGTGTTTCACGTCTTGCTGTAGTCCCAGGTGTCGTAAACTGCATGTTGCAATCCAACGAATGTCAAAATACAAGATGTATCTCGKATATAGAAAAGTCTGATAATAATCTAGTTAATTTGAGGCTATATATTTATACACACTCAATGAACAGTAAGCGAGAGTACGTTTAAACTGTATGTGTGTTGGGATGTCAGACATACCGCCAAAGTAGGCCAGAGAGCCCCCRCAAGCAGAGCCCTGTCTCATTGATTTAATGGATGCTAAGCATTTAGGAGACAGTCCACTTCTCTACGAGGCTTTGCATTACAGGCTAGGCCCATCMGTAAATTTCAATTTACTATCCATCCACTAATATATGAAGATGTTAAAAAATTGCCATGCCGTGGTAACCTGCCTGTTCAAGGGAAATCAACCAGAATGTACAAGGAAAGAGAGACTGGCKTGGGATGTCAGTGTTCAGCAAATTTTTCTCCAACATCAACCTAAATTTTTATTATATCGGTTTTATGTTTATCAGACCAAACATTATTTATCAAAGAACAATAGGTGTACCTTGGTTAATGCACAGGGATAACTATTTGGGGTACCCARATGTTCCCGCTGTTCTACCCAGCTGGTGCAGATAACTGGCTTCCTAGATTGTGAGGCACACGTTCTTAACCGAAGGATGATGAGAACTAATGAGCAAATGACAGCTACAAGTTCTGCCTCATTCATTCAGAGGATTCAATTGTTTCAGTTTTAAGAAATTTTTCATAGTACAAAAATTTTGATGACTTATCACTTCATCAGTTATTTTACTAGCAGGACATTATAATCATTAATTTTTTTATTGTAGGGACTTTTCAATAACTACAATTGCTTCATTATGGGAGTTAGAAAATACTAGACTCATTCAACTTAATTATAAGGAGAAAGTATTCACTGACCCAGTGTTTCAAATGCTGATTGTGAATCTCAAATCTCATTTTGAATGTGGTTTAAAGGCAGCTTGGRTTTCTAGGAGAGTGTATTAATTCATGCATTCACAATAGAACTCACATTTCTAAGGCATGATGACCTAATCTGACCACTTCAATAAAAAAAAAAAAACTGATTGACATGCCAGGAAGCCTTTAGTAGAAGTGATTCATGAAAATTAATAGGTATCAATCATTGTCTGTCTCTTTTTGAAAAAAAAATGCATACCTTTGTTAAGGATTCTTTTGCTCAATTCAAATGGAAATTGGAAAAAGGCAAAGGGCCACTCCCTTAGTTCTAGTGCTCCAACATCCAGGTGCCAATGACTCTCTGCTCTTGATGTTCATGCTCCAGGCTTTGAGTGCCAGCAGTTCTCAGCTTTTAGTGTTCTAGCTCTGAGCTTCAAGTGCCTGTGGTTCTTGTATCTCAGTGCCACAGTTCCCCGAGTGCCCGTGCTTCCCAACAGCTGGCATTAACAGCTCTTCTAGCTGCTGCTGGAACTCCTCAGCAGCCAGAGTTAGCAGCTCCCAGCAGCTCTCCCAGTGTGGGGCTAGCAGCTCCCTACAGTCTCCCATGGCTCTCTGCTCTCAGCCTTTGTCTGGAGCTCGTCAGCAGTGATCTGCCTGTGAGGCGTTCTCCAGGCTAGCAGCCCTGGTTACCAGCTCTTACCCAGACCAGCTCAGCCCACTCTACCCAAGATAGAAATCATCTGAATAAGTCTTTATTGGGGCTTATGCTGCAGCAAAGCAGGCAGAGTGRTGAATGGAAGTCCCAGACTGGCCTGATAAGACTGAGAAAAGTGCTGCTTATGTAGCAAAAAAAAAAACAATGCTCACATGTCCACAGTCTCCTGCCTACTAACCTAACCAGACTTTCTTCAGTCCTGCCAGTCTGCATAGTTGTACTGGCCCAGCGTCATGGGGGAGTGGTGCTCCTCAAAGACCAGAGTGAGGACATCTGAAGAGCAGGCAGAGATGTCTGGGGTGGTTCAAGGATGTCCAAGTCTGCCCCAAGTAGAGCAGTCTCCTGGAGTCATGGAGGCCTCTGGAGCAGCCGTYGCTATCCAGACAGCTCTGCGGGACTGTCAGAGAAGCAGCTACTTGATTGACAGTTCCTGCAGTTTCCATGGTAACCATAGCAGCTGCATGACAGCTRCAGGAGTGCAGAAGTAGCAGCAGCAGCAGGTGGGTTGGGCTTCAGCTGCTGTCATGATGACAGGCAGCCAGGCTGCCAAAGTCGGGGCCCTCTGATTGAYAGCCTTTGTCATTCTGAGGATGCAGTGGGGCCAAGATTGCTGACACTTCCTATGGCACTTTAGGAGCAGTAGCAGTGTCAGTCACAGCCCATCCAAACTCAGGTGCCCCAAGGATAATAGCAATGGTTCCTATCTGACCCCAGTCTCTGCTGCAGCCGGGAGGGGCATGACACTGTCAGTCAGCCCAGCGGCCAGCCACGGGGGTCTGTCGGTTCCCACCAGCCCCGGGCAGCGTCAGTATCAAAAACAGAAAGAAATGGCAGAAAAGAAATTCCCTTCAGGGAACATTGGTCCTCCTTTCTGTCTCACCTCAATCCCGTGTCACGAGAGTCGGTCACTGCTGTTTCCACTTGGAAGTTTCTRAGTAACCACAGAATGACCGCCGTTTCCCCGGCAGCCTCTAACCCAAAGTCTCTGTGCTGCTAAAGCCTTTGGAAGCTCCTGCTTTCTCCTCCTCACTTGCTGAATGTCATCACTCAGGCAG